ATATATGTATGTATGTTACAGTTCTCAGCTTGTATCACGCCACCGAGTGTCCATGTAAATACCATCTCCCGCACATATATGTATGTATGTTACAGTTCTCAGCTTGTATCACGCCACAGATTGTCCATGTAAATACCATCTCCCGTACATATATGTAAGTATGTTACAGTCAATGTGTAAAGTGACTGACATTTTCACTTAGGCTTAACAAAACGCCAAAATGTTTAAGTAATTTCAAATTATGTTTGCCTTTATTATGTCATGATAACAAATTCAAACCATTTTTATGTTCTAATTCACATCACAGGGACGGATAATGATAGGATGAAAAGACAACGAAAGTTGGTGTATGTATTTTGTATAACTTGTATATTGTGATGCTTTTAAGCCGTTTGTAACTTCTCACGAACCTTTCGTTAATCTGAAGGGAAAATAATTGTAAAATGACTTCAATATTTTGGCGTTATGAAAGTTGCCTAAGGGAAATCTTCAGTCATTTTACACATAACTGAAACATGTAAACACGCCAGGACAGGGTCATCTGAACTGTGTGTGGTCAGTGCTCCGTGTTCACCTGGTAGAGTCAGTATATGGAATCAAGAATTGCGTAAGTTTTATACGGCTGGTTGTTGACCCATGTCAGGTGACAATGCCGCAAATTCTATGCCACAGGGGCGGTCTCAGCAGGCAAATGTCGTGAAGTCACTGCATGATTTTGTTCTTCTTGTTGTTTAACGTCGCACTCAGCAATATTCCAGTAAAATGACGGTGGTCTGTAAATAATCGAGTCTTGACCAGACAATCCAGTGATTGACATCACAAGCATCGATCTACGCAATTGGGATACGAGGACATGCATCAATCAAGTCAGCGAGCCTGACCACCCGATCTCGTTAGTCGCCTTTTACGCCAAGCATGGTCACTTTTTACGGCAAGCAGAAGTTGCTGAAGACCTATTCTCCCCCGGATCTTCACGAGTCCATCAATGCATGAACAAGATATACATATATACCAACAGGCAGCATACTATTTTAAGAAAGCATCAAATATGAAACATATACCAACAGCCAACAGCCAACAGCCAACATATGTTGGTTTACAATTTATGATTTACACATTTATAACGAGCTGGCATGTAAGATATATGCATTCGTAAAAAAGCTAACGCTAATTGATGCATCATGTAGGATATATGCATGTGTACGAACACATTTTGATGCATGAAAAAATATATGTTCATTTATACCAGCAGCCAACACATATTGATGCAACATATAGGATATGTGCATTTATACTCGCAGGCTACACATATTGATGCAACATGTGGGATAGGTGCATTTATACACGCAGCCAACACACATTGATGCAATATATAGGATATATGCATTTATACCAGCAGCCAGCACGTATTTATGCAACATGTAGGATATATGCATGTGTACGAACACATTTTGATGCATGAAAAAATATATGTTCATTTATACCAGCAGCCAACACATATTGATGCAACATATAGGATATGTGCATTTATACTCGCAGGCTACACATATTGATGCAACATGTGGGATTTATGCATTTATACACACAGCAAACACACATTGATGCAACATGTAGGATGTATGCATTTATAATCACAGCCAACACCTCACTGATGCAACGTGTAGGATATGTGCATTTATACTCGCAGCCAACACACATTGACGCAACATGTAGCATATGTGCATTTATACTCGCAGCCAACACACATTGATGCAACATGTAGGATATGTGCATTTATACTCGCAGCCAACACACATTGACGCAACATGTAGCATATGTGCACGCCTACAGTTCCTATCGGTTTTCGGTGACCGGAACTCCCTCCAATAACTGTCCACGTGCATTAAGGCAGGATTTTGTTTTAAGTTGCATATTTGTATAATTATGACTTTTCGGACCATATCCTACACTTATAACCCTCTGCACATATCTGTATGTACACTGGTCAGTGTGAGTGAGTGAGTTTGGTATAAAATAACATATTAATGTCGGGCACCTTTATACTTTATAATCTTCGCGTAATTATAAAGAACATATATAAAAAAAACTACCAAAAAAATACCATAAATGTTAAAAATAGCAGCAGTCGTTACCCGTTGAAAGGCGACAACATGATATATTGTTATAGTCGGACAGGGAAAGGTGACGACACAAACCGCCATGCTGCTGAACGACGAAACACAGGGGCATATATGTGGAACACATCACTCATGGATGTCGCGGCAAGGGGGTTCACTGACCGCAAAGTCCAGTTTGCACCTTTGCCGAAATAGGCTGGAATTTCTGGGATCGGTCGTAGCGCCACCAGTGGCTATTACAAGTTATGTCCCTTCTATGTCCTTACTATTGGCAAATCAGATTCCACTTCTCATAAAGCTTGCATTTGCTTCAAACAAAATGGCGGCGCCCAGTCAAGACGATCTGATCGATAATGAAAATCTATATTATGATAAAACAGGTCTTTCTTCGCGGTGCACCAAATCACATGAGCACCTTGATTAAAAACACGAAGAGATTTGAAAAATATCTGTTTTCGCCAAGTTGGCGGTACACATGTTTTGCAAATCCTGCAATGAACCGAAATCTGTACGGCAGTTTACGAACCGGATGTCGATTTCGTAACGCGATTTTGATTGGACTGTTACAGACTTGTTAGTCAAGCCAAAATATAATTCCATAATTCCAAGCGATTTCGGCAAGGGTTAAAACTGGAATTTTATAGTCGGATAACTCCCTTGCATCGGGGAGATGATGTCGCATAGGACAGGGATGCTACAAAGTTTCAAATTTGAGGGCACTGCTTGTATTGTTTGTCGTTTAACGCCGCACTAAGCAATATTCCCAACGAGTAAGTGAGATGGGTTTAACGCCGCTTTTAACAATATTCCAGTTATATCACGGTGTGTCAGCTTAATGTCGGGGGAAAACACGAAGTGATGCAGGTCTCAGACGTTTACCACTTCGGTGAAACCCCCGAGCACGGGTATGGTGCTGACAAACCTAGAAATGTAATCGGGGCGAACCGGGATTCGAACCCACAATCATAGGTTTCTGGCGTGCCCAAAGGGACGCAAAGCACAGCGAATCGCGGCGCCTTAGACGACTGGGCCTCCCGTGTCCCCTATTCCCAATGACTTGTACTGGAACTGGTACACTATTTATGGCACATTTTGGAAATATTTCACTTTCACATAAAGACCATTAACTTCCATATTTCACATACAGACACTTAACTGACATATTTCACATACAGACATTCAATGACATTTTTCTCATTTCACATATTTTATTTCACAAACTTAAAGTCCAACGAAATGGGATGCTGCATACTCATTGGTGTCCTAAAGCCTCTCAAAAGTTCAATCTTCTTTATCACGATGAGTTTTAAACAATAGTCATAGTCATTTCATGATGATATATATTGCAAACGAGCAAGTAGCTTATCTTATTGCCCCTCCAATACAAACACATGAAAACATTTTGAATGACGTAGCAACTGTAGAAACTAATTCTTAACATTGCTTAAATCAGATACCAATTCAATACTATCAGTTATATAATGTTATAATTAGATTATAAGTACGTGGTTGGGTGTTTTGGCTGGGTGATTTGGCTGATACATGTCATCGTATCCCAATTGCGTAGATCGATAATCACTCACTGAAGTGTTTGGTCCATATTCTATTATTTACAGTCCGCCGTCAGAGAGCTGGAATATTGCTGTGTGTAGCGTTAAACAGCACACTGCACAATAATATACACCAACGATTCGTTAATCTGGACTATTTAAATTAAAAGCGACAATTAAATCCATTTCCAAGAATAAGAGTCCATTATGCGATTCCGACTCTACCATAAGCATGTGTTCACGAATCATTATCAAATTGTGATGGCATGAGGGTATCCTTCCCGCCGGTGTCACCCGTCACCGACACCATTAAGTCTTGATGGGTGAGTGAGTGATCTATTTGCACCAGTGGTATCCGTTTTCTAAGTTGAGGTGAGGTTAAATGGGGTTTAACGTTTCGCATCCAAGATTATTGCACTTTTATAGCGACGTGCATGCACGTGTGTGTATAGCTGCTTGCACGAGTCCGGACAAATGCCGAGATACCATATTGCATTTCAACATGAATACCATACTCAGAAACTGTATACTTAATCCGAGCAGACGAGTCCTTGTTTAAGCCCCTTCATGCCGAGCGCCAGACAGGGTAACAACAGGTGTCATCTTCAAATAATTAAATTTTCGTTGTGTTCATGGAAATTCCTGCATAAAAAAATACACAGTCAATCCTTAACTGTATTTTGGTGTGACGCAACCGGGTTTCGAACCCTGGACCTTCCGCTCTTCGGGCGGACGCTCTACGACTTGATCACAGAGGCGGTCCAGTTTTCTAAGACATAATCTGAAGTTCTATGATGCATTTTGGCGCACTGTTCTTTGGTTGTGCTTAGTCACTCAACATTTAAAGCATATATTTCTTCCCAGGTACAAAACGAGAATTATTGGAGTTTTGTCGCTGCCTGCTTGCACTGAAGAAAACACAAAGGACGTAAAAGCCTTTAAGTTATAAACAAGTGTATGTTTGTATTTAAACACTATTCCTGTCAACGAGCCAATGTCTTGACCACGAGGCTACCTAACAGCCTAGATCGATGCTCATGATGTCAATCACTGGGTTGTCTGGCCCAGACTCAATAATTTACAGAACGCCATCGTATAGCTGGAGTATTGCCGAGTGCGGCGTTAAACAACAAACAAACAAACAAACAAAACCAAACAGAGAGACAGTCTACCGTAGTCAAAGACGGCTTTGTGCAGGTGGTACGTCGTCGCACCTTTGCACGTCACAGCATTGGAAACGACGTTTCTACCCATCTACATCCCCAGTGTGATCACAATCTATGTATGTAATATGGATAATGATATTGAGACAGATCTGATGATAACACCAATCACGAAGTCAAAACTTTTATTTCAATTCCTCAACTACAATTAAATCATTTGTCGACGAAGGAGTTTCAAACATCATTACATCAGCAAGCACCGTGAAAAGTTTCTAGACACGCAGGATCTCGTTGAACATGCTGTTGACGCCATTCGTTGCACTCTGAGAAAGAAATTGGGATAAACGTAAATCAACACGTAGATCTAGGCCGCCCAGGAACGACAGGGTGCATAAAATATCCACAAATATAAAATGGTAAGGTTTATTCATTGACATTCGGAACTGCTCGAGAAGTCTAAAGCTTCAGCTTCTGATCAGAACGTCCCCCTGTGTCAGATCTTCACAGAGATCGTAACTGAGTATAAGATCTGGTGTTATTAAGAGAGGGAGTAAAAATCAAGGGAGAAGTATTATGGGTATTTGACCATTGCGATAGTATGAAGAATCAAATACTGCACGGCTTACACACGTTGGGGGAATTTGGGAGTGTTACTCTCACCTTTTTGCAGTACGATGGGGGGTCGAAGACGGTGATGTCCCTGATGCCGGGGGAGATGTTGTTGTAGCCCATGGTTTCCAAATAGTTGTCTGGAAAGAAATATATATCAAACTTTCAAGTTTTGAAAACAATATATGTGTAACCTTAAATGTACACAGACTCGAATCTATACCAAGCCCTCACAATCTCAACCTTCCAAGTATAACAAGCCTGGTTCAATCTGAACCTTCCAATGTACACGAACCCCGGGAAAATCTGAACCCTCCAATGTACACCAACCCCAGGACAATCTGAACCTGACAGTGTACACCAACCCCGGTACAATATGAACCTACCAATGTACACCAACCCCGGTACAATATGAACCTACCAATGTACACGAACCCCGGTACAATCTCAACCTACCAATGTACACGAACCCCGGTACAATCTCAACCTACCAATGTACACGAACCCCGGTACAATCCCAACCTACCAATGTACACGAACCCCGGTACAATCTAAGCCTTCCAATGCAAACTGAACCCTGTACAATCTGAACTTTCCAATGTCAACTTACTTCCGGGGCGCAGGATGGTGGTTGCACTGACTATTGGTACGCAGTCCCGGCGGCTGACAACGGCCATGACGTTCTTAAACTCTCCTCTCGTGTCATTGAATTGGTAAGCTATTCCATTAAGGCTGTCCGTGCCAAATCCGTAATAAAGAGGTCCCACCACGACAGCGCCACCTGAAGTGAAAATGATCGTTGCAGTTCTATGAATGAACAAGGAGTTGTCTTCCCGTTTGGCAAGGTGAGGTGGGGTGAAATGGGGACAAACGTCGCGTTCAAGATTATTGCACATATCTATATAGTGACTATATAGTATCTATATGTGTGTTTATCTGTGGCTGCTTGTACTAGTCGGGACAAATACCGATTTTAAAGTGCTAGCTCACTGAGATACCATGTCACAGTTTAACATGAATATCCCACTCAGACACAGTATACTCCGAACCGAGCGCCAGTGAGGGTAACATCTCGTAACGTATTTTGGTATGATGCGGCCGGGAATCGAACCCCCGACATTCTGCTCTCATGACAGACGCTCCACCGCGAGACCACAGAGGCGGTCCCTTTTAGCTGGGGTTAGCCCAATTCATTGGTAGAAAAACAGTCCATATATAGCTAAAGGTAAACACTGAGCGAGTCAGTGAGCTTGTTTTGACGACTGGGTATGGCAATATTCCAGCTATATACATGTTTACTCATTGTCACTTTTCACGGATGGTCCAGTCGGGTAAGATGTCGCAACTCGCTGTGTAGAGTTGCTTCCCAGATTCATGCCAGGATCTGCTGGTCTTGGCTTAGGACCTTTGTTCTATCAGCGCCGTACCCATGTTCCTCGGTTTCACCAAACGGCAAGATGAGCCAATTAACAACCAATTGCGCTAAATTCGATCACTCACTCACTAAAATTATCTTATAAGGTTAATGTAATGGTTGTGGAAAGTCTCACCGGGAATGCAATTGGCAGGGAATCTTCCCGACACGGCGAATGTCTCGCACGTTTTCGCTTCAGGGTTGATTCGGTAACCAGTTCCCTGAAATCAGAAAACAATAGTTGTTATTCAGAAAACTGTTTGGCCAAAGACCAATATTAAACAGGGGCGATTCCAGAAAGACATCATAATCACAATCAGAATAGGCTCGGGTTTTCAAGGGAAGGCTCTCTGAAAGACCACTGCATCACGTTTATGTTCAGTGTGTTGAGAAGTATAGCAGAGTCCTTCCCTTGGGTGAAATCGGCTGCCCTGAAAGGTGAAACAGAAGGCTTTCTTCTCCAAACCGTCAATGGGTGATTTTGCATCAAAGTGTAAATGTGAAATGTAGATTATGCAATTAATGTAATAAGATTTTCTAACACATTGTCAGTGGATGCCCAGCTTTGGCACAAACACAGTATCTTAAGCGACATGATAGCGCGGCCCGAGCCTTATATTATCGTCTTTGCCATGCTTGTAGTTTTGACTCAAATCCATAGTACGACCCAGAATATGTCGGGGGCGTCATGGAAAATATAATTACAAAATTCTTTGGAATACGCCTGCATCAGACCTATCAGACCTTGTCCTTTTTTATAAATCCAATGAAATCATTTACGTAATTGAATTTTCTGGACCCTTTGACACTAATGTGATTGACAAGATTTAGGAAAAACATGGCAAATATGCGCACCTCGCTTACGAAATGTCACGCTTCATCCCAAGTACCAGGATGTCCGACTCAGTGCCTTAGGTTTGGTGCCTCCCAATCGGTTGACTGACATTGGGAAAGTACCCGGGTTTGTTGCCAGGAACACAGCCCTTCTGACAACCTTGGTAATGCAGAAGGCTGCAGTGTAGGTAAGGCACTTGCCTTCGTGTCATGGAAATTAATTTTCCACACATGCTTAGAACTCTCAACTCGTGACGAAGTATGGAAGTTAAGATGGTCATTTAGCTGAGTTCGCTTTGTTGAACAGACCCAAATTGGTCATGTCGTAAATCAGCACTATGTACTGAGGTATGTTAATTATGACAGTTGTGCGAAGGGCTTTAGTCGGATAAGCCTGCCTCACCAAATGTTCCACTTAAACCACTTCATAGACGACAAAGTATCGGTTTGCGCATGTGCAGCTTCTTTCTGGGTGCCCTCCCGATCCGGCTGGGCTAGTGTGCCATCGTACACCAACAGCCTCGGTCTATTTTACCAACATCATCCGTTGTCATGTATCTAGACCTAATTAAACTGTGCATGCTGTCATGTCGTAACTGTCACACTTTCTCATTTCCTGCTTTGGAGTCATGTGCCTTACCTTACGGTAGTCCCTGATTTCCTTGTAGGAGCTGACGAAGTCGGTGTAGTTGCCACTGAGGGCGTACCTTTCGTTGGCGGCATCATAGGAGTAGGATTCCAGGCCCTGAACAAAGAAGTGACACGATGACACATGATTAGGTATGGTTAGAATAGATGGGATGTATTGTTTGTTGTTTAACGTCGCACTCACCAATATTACAGCTGTATGTTGGCGGGCTGAACATTATGGTGTCTGGACAAGACAATCCAGTGATTATGAGCAACCATCCTCGTCATAGGTGTACGATTCAAGTCACACCACCCGTTCCAATAAGTCGTCTCTTACGACAAGCATAGCCTTAAACAAAGGTTGAGTGAATGAGTATGGTTTTACGCCACTGTTAGCAATATCACGGCGGGGGACACCAGAAATGGGCTTCACACATTGTACCCATGTCGGCAATCGAACCCGGGTCTTCGTCGTGACGAGCGAACGCTTTAACCACTAGGCTACCCGACCGCCCCGGTAAGAGTTCGAGACAACCGGGAATTCGACATGTCCAAGGTCCACACAACGAAGTTCGACTGTACTATAGAACCCGTAGTACGTCGAAATAGTAATACGTACTCAGAGGAACGTCCGATGTCAGGAATGTTGAATTAGCGAGTGTCCAGTTGAGAGGGAGTCTACTTTAATATATTTGTTTAATCTTGTCAGAATAAATTAGAACTGTCAGATCATTATTATAAATGAAAGCATTGAGAACGAGAGCGCCCGCAGTATGTTTTACTTTTGAAATAATAATGTTCCTGTCAAAGAGTGACATCTACGTCCTATGTCAGTGATATTAAATTACCGAGTGTTCAGCTCAGGGGAAGTCTGCTGTGTAAAAGTACTTACCCGCCTTCCCCCCGAGGCGTCGACTCTGGTGAAGTCTTTGAACGCCTCCCATTGCAGAGGAGCGCAGCAGATGGTGCCAAGGGCAACCGTCGCCATGCTGGCGAGTAGAACTGCCTGCAGCATCATGTTGAGGAGTCGTCAAGTCTTCAGTCCAACCCTTTCACACTGGAAGCCTTCTAACGCTGGAGTTGTGGACAGAGCGGATGCGGGGTCCCTTTTTATGTACACTGCCATGCAGCCGTCAAGGTCACTACATCCCTGGATGACCTAGAAAGTGTCCAAGGCTGCAATCAATCAACAGTTTATATAAACCCTTACCACAAACTATATCATGTATTCGTGTAAATTAATGGGCTATTTGTGCTTAAGTGACAAATGCATTTCTACCAACTTTATACCTGCTGAGCATGAAACCTCAGCCTGCTGTTAATGAAGGAAAATAACCAAGCTTACACATTTTTTTACATTTGAAACCCCCGGTTTTTTTCGTTTCCATACTGCACACAAATGATACATATTCTCTATTCGTATATTTTTACAATAATTGAAACAAGAACACTCCCCGCTACAATGAATACAATACAGAAAGACTAAATAAAGTGTTAGTACTTATCGCTGAAAATGGTTTGAATGGTTTTCAGCAAGTAAACATTTGTTCCCGTGGATCAGGAAACGCTCACTCTTTCGCGAACACCTGGTATCATCACTATTTGATAGTGATTCAGTCGGAATCTTACAATTAACTCAGTTTTTTTGCAGAGATTTCTTATGATTGTGGAAAGGGTTTCGTCACTTTTATTTATTTAGAGATATATAGAATTTCACCGTAATGTAGTTTTGACATTAAATATATAAACACTAGTCAGATTTAGCCGCGAAACTCCGATGTTTGCCAATTTTAATTTTATTGACTAAAACCACTTTATTTACATCGTAGTGAAACCACTTTGCGGCAATATCTATAAGCATTTCTGAACATTGATTTGTTACCCGTGATCCACGAAGATTTCGAGATTACAAAGGGGGAATGATAATTTATTTCTTTAACCTAAACAAACCAACATGACAGGAAGCTCATCGGGTGTCGTTTTTCTGAAATACCCCTGATGGTTATCCCGGCAGTGAAAGCAATAAAAAAATTCAGACTTCGGATTGCGTGGAGGATAAAGGGTTACAACAGAGGGACATCGGAAGAGGTTTGTCATGTAAAGTTGAGTCTATATTGACAGAGAATGTTTTTTACCATGTGTGGATTTTACTTTATAACGTAAATGTTTCTTCCTTTTGTAAATTACGAAGGCAGTGCCAAGAACATAATCATATAACACTATGGTGACTATCAACAATTAAGATCGATTGTGATTGTTTGTTGTTTTACGCCGCACTCAGCAATATTCCAGCTATATGACGGCAGTCTGTAAAATAATCTGGACAAGACATTCCAGTGATTGACATCATGAGCATCGATCCATGCGATTGAGATCGATGACATGCATCAACCAAGTCAGCGCGCCTGACCACCCGATCCCGTTAGTCGCCTCTTACGACAAGCATAGTCGCCTTTTACGGCAAGCATGGGTTGCTGAAGACCTATTCTACCCCGGAACTTCACGGGTCTCAACAATTGAGAGAATCACCATATCCTTCAAGCAGATATGGTAGAAATGTATTAAATTATAATCATAGAGTCGCGCTTACTAGATTGAGATCATCATCTAATGCCCTACGAGTTGAACCTGGGTGACGTGGTTGAAATAGGATTTACCGAGGAGAGAGAAAATATTTATAAAGTTATATTGACGACGTGGAAGAAGAATTTCTATAAAAAAAAATTGAGATGTATGTATATTAAGAAATTTTGTTTTGTAAACCAATCAGTTTTCAAATTTGTTCAGTATTGACGATATTGGTTGCCAAAGAAATTGAGCCAAATATGTCTGTGAATCTTAAAAATTAAGAATCAGCAATTAAGTTTAATAAACTGGGCGGCAAAAGAAAGTATAGGTCGAGTTCCATGATCGATAAAAAAACAAACAAGAAGAGGTATTGGTGTGAATTATAATATAATCTAGGGAGGGGTAACAAATGAGTGATCAACCACAGTTTGAACGAAATTGTGCAATCACAGGTAATGTAAGCTCAAGGTAAACAATGGTGGGGTAAGAAATTTCATTTTCAAAAGTTGTCTGAAATATCACCAAAAAATTGTCAGACACACTACAAGTTCATTGTCGACACAGTTGCCTTCAATAGCGCGTATGACCTCCAACTGCCTCAATGCATGCTGTGATACGCCGCATCATCGATGACGTGAGTCTTCTGATGACGTGGACTTGAATCCGTTGCCACTCGTCTCTCAGGGCCTGCTGCAATTCCTGTCTGTGGACGGGAGGCTGATGGCGTGCTCTAATCTGTCTGTCAAGATGGTCCCACAGATGTTCCATAGGATTCATATCGGGTGAGTTGGCAGGCCAGGGCAAAACGTCAACGTTCTGCTGGTTTAGAAAGTTCCGAGTCAGTCTTCCAGTATGGGGCCTTGCATTGTCGTGTTGAAGCAATGTCCCCTGCTGTTGGTTTTGTAAGAACGAAAGCACAACTGGCTGCAACACTTAGTTTTTGTACTGCACAGCGTTCAGGTTTCCCTGTATAATCACCAAATCAGTCTTCTGATCTCCGCAAATACTGCCCCACACCATGACACCTCCCCCGCCGAATGGATGGACCTCTCGAATACACGCCGGAGCCAAACGTTCCCCTCTGCGTCGATAAACTCGTGCTCTCCCGTCATTTCGAAACAAGTTAAACCGACTTTCATCAGTAAGCAGCACTCGACGCAAATATCTTACTTGCCACCGTCGAACCTGCCTCGCCCATCGCAGTCTCAGGCGTCGATGTTGAGCAGTCAGCACCATTCCTCGGAAAGGACGATACGCTCGGATTCCAGCAGCACGAAGTCGTCGTAGTACTGTACGTTGGCTGATGGGATGTCCCAACGTTGTTGCTGCCGTCGCCGTCGCCGTCGCCGTTATAAATCTGTTTCGCAGGTGAATGAGCCGTATCTGACCGTCTTCCAGTGGTGTTGTCACTCGGGGTCGTCCGGTTCTAGGCCTGTCGTGTGCCCTCCCTGTCTGCCTGTACCGTTAAATCAGCCTGGCTACTGTAAAATTGAAAGTCACTTTAAGAGTTAAGGAGTGAGTGAATATTGTTTAACGCCGCATTTAGCAATATTCAAGCAATATCACGGCGGGGGACACCAGAAATGGGCTTTACACGTTGTGCCCACGTGGAGATCGATCCCGGGTCTTCGGCGTGACGAGCGAATGCTTCAACCACTAAATACCCCACCGCCCCAAATATGGCTTGAGTCAAAATAATGTCCGTCTGGTCTGTCTGTCTGTCTGTCTTCATAAGATTTGGGCAGAGTCACTCGTCTTGTAATACAAGGTATAGAAAGTGAGGAGGCTGACCACAATAACAATACATATTTTTATTATTTTACTTTATAAACTTAGCAATGTACATTCCATGTAATTTAGAGTTGATCTTGAGTGGGTGAAACAATTTTGCTTCATTTGGAGTCTCCACGTAATGTTTACGTATGTGCGTATTTCTACTAAAACTGTATGTTGGACACACTAACAAAACATTACATTTATCTACCTTTTACTGGTGACAGTAATTACAATATCTGATAATTTTGCTGTAACGACCAGAAATACTTAACATTGTTATATGCGTCCTCAACTCTTAAGGGCGGTCGGTTAAAGCGTTCGCTCGTCACGTCGATGACCCGGGTTCGATTCCTGACATGGGTACAATATGTGAAGCTCATTTCTGGTGTCCCCCGCCGTGATATTGCTTGAATATTGCTAAATGCGGCGTTAAACAATACTCACTCACTCCTTAACTCTTAAAGTGACTTTCAATTTCGATACAATACAAGTTCTTTTACATCACACACTCTGTCTCCATTTTCGAACGAAGGAATCAAGCAGATGTTGTTTAAACCATAAACAGAAAGCTTAAGTGTTTACAGTCCAACCATACATATAAAAAAACATTTGCTCAAAGAATATTCTTGACATGGAAAGCCCACTTTTTAACACCTATTTCATAGTACTGCCGATGTCAACAGACAGTAATTCGTAGTTAACATTTTAAACTGTAGTTTATCATTCTAACATTTGTAACGATACCAATATGATACCGCTCAGTTCTCCGTAGACTGCTGCATAAGATAACATTTACAATTCTTTTTTAAAAACATTCAGGTGAATATTTCCAATGTCCGTTGCATTACCAGGGCCACATGCTTCACACCCATAACACGTTGTTAAAGTTACAAAAGAGTCAAGCCGTTGCGTCAAGTTTATTCTGTAGGCCTGTTGGGTTGTGCATGGGTCACCCATGTCTTCTGAAAATAGTTTCATACATAGATTTATATAGTCTATTTTGATTTCTTACATAATCCGTTGACATCATGACAATTGTTGTCACGTGTGCTACCTCATTTAACCAGGGAGACTTGGCACCTATGTGTCAGACATGAAACAGACTTACGTCATCAGTTGCAAAAAAAAACGAACAAGGTAAGTGCCTAATGTTATACACATAACTTTCGGTCGGATGTTCTGACGTTTTGGGTTGGAATTTTTGCATTTGTTTTCATTCGTTTTCCGTAGGAGTGAACCGAATAATTCTGGTTCCTTTACCTTATCGAAGGGAAGTTCTTCGATGCGCGACAGACAACAGGCCTTTTTGTTTGTAGACGTGTACATGTATATGTTACACTCAATGTGTAAAATGTGATTCACTCCGGCTTATAAAATGTCTAATTTACAAATTGAGAGAAATATAGGTCCATATAACTTATGCAAGGATTAGATTGGGCAAGGATTAGAAGCCAAACAATATAAAAATGTACATTGACTTTCGTTTCCTTTTAATCCTAACATTATCTGTCGATAGGTGATGAATTAAAACAAAACAAATGGACATATATTTCAGTCAATTTGTAAAATAAGCGTAATATTTATGCGTCTTGTATATTGCCAAAGTGAACATTTCAGTTGTTTTACACATTGACTGTAACAAAAACACATGCTTCCATTAGTCATGCTCAGGTGAAAGTATGTGTTTTAAAATAAAAGTGTAAACTCGCAGAATACCAAGCAAGCAAACTAAGTCACTATTACCGATGCGTTCCCGAGAGACGCCAACAATTCCTTTATACTTCCTTGACAAAACTGTATTTTTCTTGTTTCGTTTTTGTTTTTTTACGCCCTTGTACTTTCAATAAAAACGACAAATGCGCTCAGGTCGCGAACTTGTCGAGATTTCAAGGATATCATCTGTGTACGTATCCACGGGGAAAAACAATAACAAAGGCAACATTCTCGTTATTTCGATTACATTTTCGCACTTTTAATTATTTTCTCGTAATGGAAGAGGATTTATGTATGTCAGGTTCTTTATTATGAGGAACACAACGTTTCGTAGTTTATGCTTACTCCTTTGGCTTGTTCTTGTAAGGACGTGAACGCGACATTGCCTTACCTCTATGTTAAAGGGGCACTGATCTAAAGCAATTCCCCGGGACTGGTTGTTGACTTTTGTTATTGTTTTTTCCCCCATGAGTACCCGGATGATACGCAACGCAACTGAGCGTGACAAGAATCTGGGCTACCGTCTGCAAGAACAGCAAAATAAACTTGGAGGCAATATTGGTTTTACCCATTTTTGAACACTGATTGGTTAACTGTGATCTATAACGATTTCGACAAAGGGCGCATGGTAATTAATTTCTTCAGCCTAAACAAACAGACAAAAAGAACGGCGGAGCTCATCGGTTGTCGTCATTTGGAAATACCTCTGATTGTTATAGTTTAAAAAAAGTATCAATGCAGTGAAAGCATTTTTGGATTTCGGATTGCGGCGATAATACGATTACTACTCCCTTGTTGTCATCCATTTCCTGGTATAACCCTACACTTGTGTATTTGTCGTCATTCGCTTGATGCTCAGTTAATGAATTTATTACAGGTATAATAAGTGGTAGCATCACTCCGAATGCCTAAGGAAGCTTCCCATTTGGCATTTATTGTGTCTGGGGTAATTATTCAATCTAAATCCAGGTTTGAAGTGAGGTGAAATGTGTGTTATGTAATATACAGCCCAGCAAGAGATGAATGATCAGTTGATTTACTTTTTTTAAATCAGCGGATCGTTCGTAGTCATCAAAGGATTAACAGAAAATACATTGATTGATTAATCACTGTTATCTTGCACGGTGGATATGTCAAAAGTGAGTGTCTACATGTCTAGGTTTACTAAAACAAAGGGCATACACTCATATCCTTGCGTGAAGTGCCGATGTAAAAACAACATACTTTGTTCAAAGGGTTAACCGATAATACGTTGATTACTTGCTCATTGCTATCTAACTCAATGGATTTTTTAGGAACCGTGGACGTTATGTAAATAGTTGTCACGTGGGCTTTCTCAGTCGACCTTTCAGACTTGACACCTATGTGAAACACCTGAAACGGTTCTGGGCCGGAAGAGCGAAACCTAGCCATAATCAACTCTAAAATCTCTTCGCTTTCGTGAAGCTACAGTAAGACTGGTAACGCTACAGTAAACACGGGATATTGCTATACCGGGACTCTCAAATTACAAGAAAAACACAGAAATGCGTATACCGTAATCACAGTAGTAATTTATTAGATGCTGAAGTATAGTATAGTTGCACAAAAGTACTTAACTTACATTTAACAAATTTCATAACTCTAATACTTTAATATTTCATAGATGTACATTATAATTTCTACAAAAACAACAATAACTTATATCTTAAAATATAATGGTAAAGACATAAATACATTCTATAATAAATTTGCGGTTGCACTGGCATACACGTTGTGTTCAAGTCATTCACTCCAAGTGGATCAGGTCACCAACGTGATCTGTGTACTCAACTTCGTCGATGACGTTGTTGAGGAGATTGTCTTTCAGAGCCTGAAGACGGTTGTCAATCAGCCGGTATCTTCTCTTTCTGGTAGGTGCTTACCAGTGGGCTTCAATTCGTTGATTGGCGACTTCTACGTTGGATTGTTCTCTTTGAAATAGCGTTGGATTAAAGTTATAATTCTGCTGTTGAGCCATTAGACGTAAATGTTCATATGTCCTGGTGTACGTATCTTCGGACCTGTTCGGGAGCAGACAGTACACAAGCGGGAACATGTGGCCTTGGAATTCAGCATGCAGTGTGTAGATCTGCTCAAACAGTCGTGGAGCCGAGGAGAAGGTGCCGTCACCAAACACTTCATCTGCTGCACACAGGTGCTCAGTGTTCTTGCTTGTGGTGAAGATGAGAATGTCGTTGTCGATGCGATGAAGGAAGTGTTCTCCTGCTTCGGTCAATGTCCACTGTCCTTCAAGATGAATCTCAGGTCGGGTAGCAGGAAGTTTGGGAAGGGTCTTGTGGCGTTGTCAGTACAGAATGGTCTTCAGGGATGCAAAGGAAGTGGTAGTAGTGGTTTATTTCAGTAAATCAGGCCACAGGCCCATTTTACAATATATATATTCAAGCATTCAAACATGTTGCGCCACAAGTGCATGTAGTAATATCAATACTAATCCGTACAAGGGTATCTGAGACCATATACATATGGTGGTAGAATTAGTAGTTTATATAATGGACAACTGCTTGCTCCTCATTTTAAGAGCAAAGAATGTAAACTTGGCAAGATTATTGATTGTGAAAGCATTACTGGTGGTAAATAAAACCTTACATTTATGCTCTGGGATGCAAAGGAAGGAATTTCCTTAAGCAGGTCGTCTTGAACTACGTCGTGGTGGCGGCGAAGTCTGGAAATCTCATCTCCGTATATGGTTGGAATCGGCGTTGTTTCCGTCTTAGCACGGTGGATGAGCTTGGACTTGAACGATTCCACTTCCATCTCATATGGGATAGGTTGGTGGGTATGGTTCACCTGCAATTAAATAATTGCATTTTAACTAATATTAACTATAAACAAAATTTATACATACGAGGGGTGTTCATTAAATATTTCGCCTGACCCACTTCCGATGGACCTAGTGGAATGAAACTTGGCATAGGTATTAGTCTATTTCCACATAGGAACCACCAAGAGTTACACACTTCTCCGATCGTTTTATGCAACTATAGAGACCTCGCTTGTAAAAGCCCTCATTTTGCGTCTCAAACCAGGGCTTGACTTCAGAAATCAGTGTTTCGTCATCTGTGAAACGTTTTCCCTTCAAAAATGACTTCATGGTTGGAAAGAGGTGGAAGTCAGATGGTGCAAGGTCAGGAGAGTAAGGAGGATGTGGAAGGATTTCATAGCCACAGGACCGCGCTTCTGTCTGGGCAACATGAGAGTTGTGTACTGGAGCATTGTCTTGCAGGAGACGGACACCCTTGGTCAGCATGCCACGCCTCTTAAGCTTGATAGCGTCCCGCGATTTCCGCAGCAGTGAAGTATAATAAGCTCCTGTAATTGTGGTATCCTTTGCCAAGAAATCCATCATCACTACTCCGTGCTGGTCCCAAAACACCGTGAGCATGACCTTGCCTGCAGACGGTTGGACACGTGCCTTCTTTGGGGGTGGTGATTTCACATGCTTCCATTGCATCGACTGAACTTTAGTCTCAGGATCATAGTGATGGACCCATGTTTCATCCTGTGTGATAAGTCTGGTTTGCCTGGTTTTTTTGGCACATGTCCAAAAGATCCTTTGAGCAATTGACTCGTTCCTGCTTTTGGAAAGGTGTGAGCAACCTGGGAATCGATCGTGCAGACACCTTATGCATGTTCAAATTGTCATCTTGTGCTAACTGGCGAACAGTTATACGTCGGTCTGCCAAAATGGCGGTCTCCACTTGATGGATAGTGTCCTCATCAATGGCTGAATGGGGGCGACCAGGAATGGCAGCTGTTTCCACAGATGTCCGACCACACTTGAACTGGCGATGCCAGTGTTTAACAACGTCATATGATGGGGCATCTTCCCCATAAGTTGCTTTCATTTCATCGAAAGTTTCTTTTGGTGTGCGACCTTTCAAATATAAAAACCTAATCACTGCTCGGTATTCTACTGGCTCCATTGTCACACCCTACTCGATCATAACATCTGTAAAAGTGGTAAGATTAGTAGTTCGGTGCTGCAAATTTAGACATAACCCATAGATACATGTATCATTACACATGTGAAATTTCAACCAAATATGATAACCCTAAGTGGTTTAGGGGAAATCTTTAATGAACACCCCTCGTACATGTGACAAATACCTGTGGTATCTAAAAATAAGTAATAATAATAAGTAAAATAAATAACTGAATAGTTTGTTAAGCAAAGTCTTTTTAGTCTATGTCTTTAAGATTATTATCATCATGATCATGTGCATTATTTTCTAACCTGCAAAGCCGCTTGAAGAATGCCGTTTTCAGTGATCAACGACACTCTGCAGGCAGCAACAACGCAGTTCCAATACTTCTTCTCACGGACCGTTTTCTTACAACGAAACTTGACCCCCTCATAAAACAAGTGCTGACCACCTCGCACGGTATCAACCATAAAACTGTAAAAATATAAACACGATAAAATAAGCAATGCTCAGGAGAAATATTTACTTTGTGTTGCAAGCCAAAATAGTGTAAATGAAAATCGCACAATTACCAAACAAGTGACTTATCAAAACTTCGTCAACCAAAACTGTATTTCATTTCAATGTGACCATACGCCCTTATACTATCAATAAAAGTGACAAATGCGCTTACGAATTGCGCAGCACAGGTTGCGAACTAGTCTAGGTTTCTTCTATATCATCCGGGTACTCAACAATAACAAAGTCAACAACCAGTCCCAGGGAATTGCTTTAAAGTGCCCCTTTAAGATCTGATCGGTTCAAGTGATCTTGGACCGCCTCCGTGGTTTAGTGGTAGAGCATCCGCCCGGAGAGCGAAAGGTCCGGGGTTCGGTCCCCGGTAGCGTCATAGCAAAAGACGTTAAAAGATGGTACTTGTTGTTACCCTTCCTGGAACTCAACAAAAAGGGGCTAAAGCAAGGACTGGTGGGCTCGGAGTCGGGGTATTCATGTTAAACTGCGGCATGAAATCTCAGTGTGCTAGCACTATAAAATCGGCATCGGTCCGGACCTGTACCAGCAGCCACACTAACACATACGTGCATGCATGTCGCTATATAAGTGCAATAATCTACCGCGTTGTTAAACCCCATTTCACCTCAAGTGATCTTTATGAAAAACACGTTGTTTACTTGGCTATGAAAGTCACGTGACACAGCTCAAATGAACTCTCAATCAAACCAATATTTTAAAGCAATTTTCAATTTGTTTTTATCCTGAAATATATCCGCAAAATAAAGTCGTTGTAGCAGTATCAGTAGAGTTACATGTGGTTTTATGCGTCCCTCCTAAGGTTTAAAACCACTCGCCTCCGGCTGATGGTATAAAACTAACGCGGGACCAATATAATCGGCATAAAACTTAATACGTGCCGCATTAAACAATTATGCCCCTCGTAAAACTGTTCCAATGAATTTAATAACCATGCCCGTTCTAGGATTCTATAAGGAGGGGAAGTAGCCTGCGGTTAAAACATTAAAACATATTCCCCCTGCACGAGGAATACAATATTCGAATACCTCCATACAAGTTCTTCTCATAGAAGCTGCATTCGTTTTAATGAACCAACACGTTACTTAAGGTTTATAAAGTATTTAAGGAGGCAATTTTACGATGAAGGTAAAGAGTTTTTAAAATAGTATAAATCTCGAGAATGTTCTCGGTGAATCAACTTAGTGGTGCAACGCCTTTGTCTGATTTTTTTATGAGATCACGACACGAGTCAGGAAATAGACCGCTAACCCTTTGTCCTCCTGAGTGTAGGCACCCTCCTGTCATCTTGAATAACACTTAGTTCAAGACTTAATACCTTTTCTCGGCAACACATTTAATCTGCCATAGATGAACTAACTACAGGCTTCAGTAAATGGAAAGAAGACAACGATGTCTTGTCTTATGAACGTGTTCCATATTCACGTTATACGCTGTGTTACACATACGGGAACTGTCGAAACAACCAACGTTTGTCTGTTTTATTGACGCTTTAAAGGCTTTTGATAAAGTTAATAGGGACTGTCAATTGTTATCGGATGGAGAGGCGGTTGAATTGGCTCGACATAGCATGAACGCCACGAATTTCTAAGTTAATAAATGGGCCGTGTAAAATATCCCATCATATCAATCTGACGCAAACGGAGATAAACATGTATAGTCTTAAGTAGAGGTATGAACTAGAACGAGTGTGACAAACAGTTTATTCGACCACGTGAGCGGGCCATGTCTCTTAATGTAACGAACACAGACACAGACTTTGAGAGAAAATAGTTTTTTTATGTAAAATTGAATGAATCGCCTTGACTTGATGATGATTATTATTATTGTTGTTGTTATTATTATTAAATTTAAGTTACGTATCACTTTTAATTTCTTTTAACATTTAATTAATTTTTTATCATAATTTCAAAGATTTTGTTTCAGAATCTTTAACCATTCAAGGAATAGCCACGATGCCTTTCTTTTGAAAGAATGTCAGATAAAACTCCAAATAGTGATTGCAGACTGGTCTGATTTATAGCATGTTTAGCCTGCTGTCTGGGACGTTTAATCCACCATGTAATTGTCACGTAATTGTCTCAGTTTTTATGACTCAACCACCTGAAAAGTTGAGAAGATAGACGCATTACCTGGATAGTTATGTAGGTACATTACATGGGAAGTTGAGAAGGTAGACACATTACCTGGATAGTTATGTATGTACATTGCACGGGAAGTTGAGAAGGTAGACGCATTACCTGGATAGTTATGTATGTACATTGCACGGGAAGCTGAGAAGGTAGACACATTACCTGGATAGTTGTGTATGTACATTGCACGGGAAGTTGAGAAGGTAGACACATACCTAGATAGTTGTGTATGTACATTACATTGGAAGTTGAGAAGGTAGACGCATTACCTAGATAGTTGTGTATGTACATTACATGGGAAGTTGAGAAGGTAGACGCATTACCAGGATAATTCTGTAGGTACATTGCACGGGAAGTTGAGAAGGTAGACGCATTACCTAGATAGTTGTGTATGTACATTGCACGGGAAGTTGAGAAGGTAGACGCATTACCTGGATAGTTGTGTATGTACATTGCACGGGAAGTTGAGAAGGTAGACGCATTACCTAGATAGTTGTGTATGTACATTACATGGGAAGTTGAGAAGGTAGACGCATTACCTGGATAGTTGTGTATGTACAATGCACGGGAAGTTGAGGAGGTAGACGCATTACCTACATAGTTGTGTATGTACATTGCACGGGAAGTTGGGAAAGTTTATTGTTCAACGCCGAACTCCTTAATGTTCCTGCTATATAACGGCGGTCTGAAAATAATCGAATCTAGGCCAGACAATCCAGAGATTGATATCATGAGCATCAATCTCCGCAACTGGGTTACGATGACATGCATCAACCAAGTCAGCGAGTATGACCTCCTGATCCCGTTAGTCGCGATCTTACGACATGCACGGGTTGTAAATTCTAACCCGGGTCTTCACGGGCCCATACCTCTTGTAGTACAAGGTACATACCTTTATCGTGGCACACAACTAAGAACTAAAACTGGTTTTGTTTAAAGTTCCCAACTTTGAAAACATGACCAAAGGAGCAATGCAACAGAAGAGGGTTGAAATGGGGGCATGGGCCCTTGGGGAAAACTTAATTTGCTGATGCATGTGTTTGTGACGGGTGCTACCGGTGGGACAGGATACGTTCACCTTTTCACGAATACCTGGTATCATTACATAACATTGATCATTAGGAGATGTATGCTTGCAAAGATAAATTTAAAGTAGTTTTTTTTCTAAATGAATTGAAAAATAGGAGCATGTTACGACGTAAATTGTAATAAAAAGGTAAATTGTAATACTTGCAGCAAATTGTAATAATTTTGACGTAAATTGTAATAACAACGTAAATTGTAATAAAATTTGACGTAAATTGTAATACGCAAATTGTAATAAAAATTGACGTAAATTGTAATAATCTCAACTTGCGGTAAAATGTAATAACTTTTTACGTAAATTGTAATAACCTTATAAGTTTAGGTGTCAAAGGCGTTAAATGACTAGAACCTATCCTTGTCAGGGTTGGTACAGGGTTTATCGTACAATTGTCATTAAAGTATGGGTGTGGGGGAGGATTGAGGTCGTTATCGTGAATTGTTGTATAATTATATGTATATATAAACGCATTGGAATTTCATTTCTATGGTTGTCCAGAAGAGGATTAATTACTAGAATGAACTTAGTTTTCTTATTTATTTGAGAAATACTCTGTGTGTTTTGTATTATATTTTGACGACGAATTCAAATACATCAAATGAGTGACAAATCTCCTGTGCAATGTCAAATGAAAAAAAACAGTCGTCAGCAAATGCAGCATAGATTTCCCATGCATGGGAAAGGAGAATACTTAATACATAACATTATATACAATGTTTTTATTAATATCAAAAGAGGGGCGTGGATATTTTTTACCTACATTGCATATACTATTAGATATTGTGTATTCTCGATCTCTGTGAACTTCTCACAGATAAAGAAATAATAATAAATAAATGCAAACCATGTTAACTTATGCAATATTTGTAGCAAAATATGATTAACATATGGATAATTAATATAGCATAAAATATTTCCTTTCACAACAAGAAGTATATTTAATGAAATAAATGAATAAATGTAACTGTCTGGATTCCTTTCACATGTCATGAAGAACTAACAACAACTTACTGACAACTTTTGCTGGGATAATAACTCCTTGCCCCAACAACAAAAACAGAATCCATCATGATAACGGCACGAAATCATAATTCAAAGCATACAAAAATAATATCCGGTATCTTCGGGCATGTCTTGTTGAGTTTCAAAGAGCATCAGAATGTATAATAAAATTTGTTGCAATCAATTATTGCTGAAATATATTTGTTTTGATCAAAATTGAAAGGATGGAAAATCTATTATGAAAAGGGTTTTGTCACTAACGTAAATATTCTCTTTGACCTTATACGAAGAGTACTCTAAGATCATTAAACTCGACAATCGTTGATTGATTGCGCCAAACAACCTTGATACCAAATATGGTACCTCACGTATAATGCGGTACATAATTTTCGAAACAGATAATTACGTTTTTCATAAGTTATCACTAATTTGTGACATATATACGGACAAAAATTACCTCAGAGGATAATCTTCTCTCGGGGTTTAAGAGGATTAAAATAATTCCAGCTAACATCAAGCACTGTAATACAATATTGAAGTTATAGCATACCATCTTAACATTCCAATGAAAAGAATAGTGACTAACTAAGAAACCAAATTATATTTATCTCCGATACTATGCCCTCATCAGTATACACACACACACATACATACACACATACATGCAAACACATACACACATAGGTATGTATGAATGTATGTGTGTGTTTGTGTATGTGTTTATGCATGTATGTATGTATGTATGTATGTATGTATGTATGTATGTATGTATGTATGTATGTATGTATGTATGTATGTATGTATGTATGTTTGTGTATGTGTTAAAGGTTATGCAAAATGTTACAAATGAACAAAGTAAGATATTTTAAAAGATAAAATAGAAACACAAACCTGTAGATATACGAATTAGAATGTAGCAAATATCTTCTACGTAGACAAAAGTATGTCCAACAAAGACATAAGTATATTCTTCGTAGATAATACGTTTTTCATTTTTTATCACTAATTTGAGACGGACAATAATCCCCTGAAAGCATAACCTCCTCTGGGGGTTTAAGAGGATTAAAGTAATTCCAACAAACAACAAGCACTGTAATGAAATTACAACATACTTTGTTAAAATTCTGATGAAAAGACTAGTAACTATCTAAGAAACCTCAGATTGGGCCTCATTAGCATAGACACACAAACACAAACACACACACACACACACACACACGCACGCACGCACGCACGCACGCACGCACGCACGCACGCACGCACGCACGCACATACATTCACACATACACACACACAGATACAGACACAAACACGTGTTGCACACACTACATACCCATACAAAAACACCCCCACACAAACACTATATGTGTGTATACATGTACGTATGTACGTATGTGTGTGTGTGTGTGTGTGTGTGTGTGTGTGTGTGTGTGTGTGTGTGTGTGTGAGCGCATGTAGGTGTGTATGTAATGACAGTAAATGTGAACTCTATGTCATTGGTATCACATATATGATTGCACTTCTACATACTCTAGATGACAGTATCATGTACGTAGATGAAAGTATGTAAGTGGACGATAGTATCTAGATGGCATACTATCATCTACGTAGAAGATACTATCATATACGTAGATGAAAGTATCTTCTACGTAGATGAGAGTATCTTCTAAGTAGATGATAGTATTTTCTACGCAGATGGTAGTATCTTCTACGTGATGATAGCATGCCACAGACATCACATCACTTCCAATAAATGTCTTTCACTATGTTGATACCACCCTTTAATGACGATTGTACGATAAAGCCTATACCAACCATCCCTAACTTAACAGTTTTGTACGTTTGTCATCATACACAGTATTTCTCGAATTGTACATGTGAAACACAAGCTCAACTGACAAAGATCATTTCTAGTCAATTGGCGTCTTGGACACTACGGTAGTAAGGTTATTACAATTTACGTAAGAACTTATTACATTTTACCGCAAGTAGAGATTATTACAATTTACGTAATTTTTTATTACAATTTGCGTATTACAATTTACGTCAAATATTATTACAATTTACGTTGTTATTACAATTTACGTCAAAATTATTACAATTTGCTGCAAGTATTACAATTTACCTTTTTATTACAATTTACGTCGTAACAGAGCATTTTCAAAACTAAATGTGAAAAGAAAAAGATTCGGCCAACTTTGACCTTCCGAGTTTTTCAACATGCACGGGATGGTAGGACGGAGCAGGGGATTGGTCCTTCCCTTGTTCTTCAGCATGCATACTTATCGTGTTGATATGTAATATACCAAAATATACTGTTAAACCATGAAATTACCTGTAATATGTCTCGAAAATCATGCGAACACGGATACCTAAACAAAAATGGGTCACTTAATTAATGCGAGACACCACACTTCGATTTTCTTAATTCTAACAGCATAACACTACTACAAGCATGATAGAGCACATCAATCTCACTCATTGTATACGGGGAACTTGGAAGACTCCATCTATCATACATCGCCACTATGAGAATGATAGGTTTTGGGGCAAACTTACTTTCCGTGAAATTATCGAAATTATCCTTTCTTGTATACAAGTTGTTATTTAATGACGACCTATTTGGAAAATTATATATATATATATATATATTATGTTGTTGAAATATTTTCTGCTGACAGAGGCCTGAGTGTAAATAAAGTTCAGTCCAGTTCATTTATCTCACATCTCACAAGCTGATTTTTTCCTTGAAACAACACACTATGATATAAAGCGGCACATGTGTTTCAAAGTAAGTATTAACACAGAGGCAGGATCAACTAATTCATGTCGGCTTACTACCACTCGTGTCGGCTCACGACTAAGTGGCCAAAGAACAAAGAAACCGTCTTGCGTTGGTGGTCAAAATGAATGAAAAGGTGATTGTCTAATAAATGGGATGGACATCCTCGGACATGTTGTCAGACAGGTTCAGTGTGGGGATACAGGACGATGAGTCAGCAGTCTATTTCCTGACCCGTCACGTGGTCTCGGAATTCAGCCAAAGACGTTAAAAACAGGTGCGTCTTGACACAGAAAGGAGCACCGAAAACATGTTACACAAGTTCAACGACATTCTCAAAAAAAACTTCAAAATACTTAACCAACAAGATGGTATGTTAAACGAATGCTGTTTCTGTGAGGAGAAAAACTTCGGAATTCAAATGCGGTCCTCACTGAGTTGGGCGAATAGTTCAAATACCTAGCTCACCTCAAATCCACGATGAATTGGGAATTAAAAGTATATGTGCATATTTAAACGGCTATGATGTTGTTCAGATGTTGAGTCCCCATTAAGTTGAACTAATTGAACGTTATTATTATCATTGCTTGAGTCTCGTGATGCGATTACTCCCCTAAATGTGAAATCTTAGAACGTAGTGAAAAAATACACTTCTGACTACACATGGAACACAGAAATAATCAAACTTTGAAATCCATCTCATACATAGATTTTCCTGTAATTGTCTTAGTAATGTGGAAGTTAAGCCACATATATACTACTCAAAAGACGTTAAGAACACCCGATTCTTCCAGAGTACTATAGTTAATCTGTCAAAGCATGAAAGATAGTGTCATTCATGACAGATTAACTGATATAGTAACATGAAAGAATTGGGTGTTCTTTAACTTCCTTTGAGTGCTATATAGTGTGATAAATTGAAAAGGAAATGAGTAGGGGGTTGGAAAGTGATGTCGGAGTTTTTCCACTTTATCAACTCGTGTTCATATATTTGATATCAAAAGACACTCGGTTATCATCCAACATCATTCTTCCAACTTTTTCAGTTTGTAGACAATAATAAGCAGTGTCTTAAGTGTAAAAAATGCTTCTAACAGCTTCAGTAGCAGGGCCATTAGTGATGTCATTTGATTGTGACCTCATGGTAACAAATGACGTCACAATGGTCTGCAAAGCATTGTGATGTAAAGTAGATATCGCTTGATCTACGCAAGGATATCTCCCGTTGGAGCCAGTTTTGGATGATAAACGAAAAGCTTCAAGGTTTGTTCTGTCTATGAATACTAGTCTTCATAAGCATTTTCCCTTGCGATCGCAAATTTGAAAACGGTTTAATGAATATGTATCAGAACAACTTCCGTACAGAGTTTTTCTTCTCCGAATCCAAAATGATTCAGTTGTGACGAAACATAAGACGTCACCCCTTGCATGATGACGTCATTACATTCAAAACACCCACATCACGAAGAAAGAGAGTGCTTTGGAAAATAACTATATTTTTGTAAATTTTATGTAAAAATACGGGTGTTACCGTTAAGATCGCTTTGTGGACTAACGGAATAACTGTTTCGTACCTTTATGAATAAATTGCGTCAACAGAGTTTATTACGTGAGTATATTTTTGATGGTAATGTATCCTGTGTTAGGAATAAACATTGCATTTAGCGCGCCTTGGCGACACGATTCATTTTTCAGCGCAAGTGACGATTTATCAACAGTATTTCTCTTTTCATTGAAATTGTTGTTTCATTTATTGTAAAGATATACAAACAGCTGTATCAGTTGAACATACGTGTACATACCGAACACCAAATTGGGAAATTATTGAGACTACAATTGTTAAAATTTCAAATCCTTATAAACACCCGCAAATCGGAAAAGCGAACATTATGTTACCACTCATGATAATATGAGGCGCATATTGATGTAGAGTCGGTTGGTAAGCCTAGTTGTTTAAGAGTTGGCCTGTCACACTGAATAGCCGGGTTCGATTGCAAAAATAGTAACATGTGTGAAACAACACCCCCATATTAATTAATCTGAGTATCTTTTCGCGTATTCGTAACCGGAAAATACATATATCGCTACGAAAAAGCAAGGTCATCTAAATCACCAAAATAATATATTATTAATACCAGTCTTATTACGATAATCTTACTTTTTTTTAAATATAAAAATGGTTTTGATTTTAGTATTAGCATCGTTTTCAAATTGAGAGAAATCTGTGTATAAAGACGGTGATAATGCAATTGTCGTGAAAACACAAATAGCCCATTTATTTACACGAATACATGATGTTCATAACAGTAAGTAGTTACATCCACGGTTGATAAATTGCAGCCTTAGACACTTTCTAGGTCATCCAGGGATGTAGTGACCTTGACGGCTGCATGGCAGTGTACATAAAAAGGGACCCCGCATCCGCTCTGTCCACAACTCCAGTGTTAGAAGGCTTCCAGTGTGAAAGGGTTGGACTGAAGACTTGACGACTCCTCAACATGATGCTGCAGACAGTTCTACTCGCCAGCATGGCGACGGTTGCCCTTGGCACCATCTGCTGCGCTCCTCTGCAATGGGAGGCGTTCAAAGACTTCACCAGAGTCGACTCCTCGGGGGGAAGGCGGGTAAGTACTTTTACACAGTAGACATCCTCTGAACTGAACCCTCGGTAATTTAATATCACTGACATAGGCCGTAGATGTCACTCTTTGACAGGAACATTATTATTTCAAAAGTAAAACATACTTCGGGCGCTCTCGTCCTCAATGCTTTCATTTATAATAATGATCTGACAGTTCTAATTTATTCTGACAAGATTAAACAAAATACTAAAGTAGACTCCCTCTCAACTGGACCCTCGCTAATTCAACATTCCTGACATCGGACGTTCCTCTGAGTACGTATTACTATTTCGACGTTCTACGGGTTCTAAAGTACAGTCGAACCTCGTTGTGTAGACCTTGGACATGTCGAATTCCCGGTTGTCTCGAACTCTTACCTTCCGGTCCCTGCGAATTGCTTTAAGATTTGTCATCATTTAAATGTAGTATCACACCAAAGATGACGAGATTACATGTCATAATCTCTCATAACATGATGTTTGGTTTTCGGAATTTTTTTCGAACCTCGGATAACTCGAACCTTATTTCAGGTCCCCACGAGGTCGATACGAGGAAGACTGTATTTGTATGCCGTTGTCCCAAATTTGTTAAAATTAAATTTAAGAGTTGAATTCCCGGATCAATGATAATCAGTTACATTTTCTATTTTTTAATTCGTTTATATTTATAAAATGAAGTCATATTTTACCATGTCTAATCGAATCATGTTTAGACTACTTAAATCCTATGCGAGTGGCGGGTGATATCGGTAAGGCAGGACATGCTTACTCTTTTCGCGAACACCTGGTGACCTTTTGAGTTTCAGGGATCCATTCATATAATTCTCGCCGCTTATTTGCCTTTTACACCCAATAAATCTATTAAATCGGATGACAAAGACTGGCGATTCTTTGGCGCTGATGTTTACGTTATCTACGTTATCCCTCAGGCGTGCCGTAACCTTGGTACGTGGGTTCGTCCTGTTTTTGTTCTGGAGTTTTCGCAGTCACTCGTTTCCCCAAAGTGGTAAACCTCTGAGGCGTGCATTTTATCGTGTCACTTCTTTGTTAAGGGGAGCGGTGGGGTAGCCTAGTGGTTATAGTGTCCGCTTGTCACGCCGACGTCGGGTTCGATTCCCCACATGGGAAGAAATGTGTGAAGCCCATTTCTGGTGGCCCCGCGGTGATATTGCTGGAATATTGCTAACAGTGGCGTAAAACCATACTCATTCACTCAACCTTTGTTTAAGCTATGCTTGTCGTAAGAGACGACTTATTGGAACGGCTGGCCAGGTGGTGTGACTTGAATCGTACACCTATGACGAGGATGGTTGCTCATAATCACTGGATTGTCTTGTCCAGACTCGATAATGTTCAGCCCGCCATCATACAGCTGTGATATTGGTGAGTGCGACGTTAAACAACAAACAATACATCCCATCTATTCTAACCATACCTAATCATGTGTCATCGTGTCACTTCTTTGTTCAGGGCCTGGAATCCTACTCCTACGATGCCGCCAACGAAAGGTACGCCCTCAGTGGCAACTACACCGACTTCGTCAGCTCCTACAAGGAAATCAGGGACTACCGTAAGGTAAGGCACATGACTCCAAAGCAGGAAATGAGAAAGTGTGACAGTTACGACATAACAGCATGCACAGTTTAATTAGGTCTAGATACATGACAACGGATGATGTTGGTAAAATAGACCGAGGCTGTTGGTGTACGATGGCACACTAGCCCAGCCGGACCGGGAGGGCACCCAGAAAGAAGCTGCACATGCGCAAACCGATACTTTGTCGTCTATGAAGTGGTTTAAGTGGAACATTTGGTGAGGCAGGCTTATCCGACCAAAGCCCTTCGCGCAACTGTCATAATTAACATACCTCAGTACATATTGCTGATTTACGACAGGACCAATTGGGTCTGTTCAACAAAGCGAACTCAGCTAAATGACCATCTTAACTTCCATACTTCGTCACGAGTTGAGAGTTCTAAGCATGTGTGGAAAATTAATTTCCATGAAACGAAGACACGTGCCTTACCTACACTGCAGCCTTCTGCATTACCAAGGTTGTCAGAAGGGCTGTGTTCCTGGCAACAAACCCGGGCACTCTCCCAATGTCAGTCAACAGATTGGGAGGTACCAAACCTAAGGCACTGAAAACAATGGGGAGTCGGACATCCTGGTACTTGGGATGAAGCGTGACATTTCGTAAGCGAGGTTCGCATATTTGCCATGTTTTTCCTGAATCTTGTCAATCACATTAGTGTCAAAGGGTCCAGAAGATTCAATTACGTAAATGATTTCATTGGATTTATAAATAAGGGCAAGGTCTGATAGGTCTGATGCAGGCGTATTCCAAAGAATTTTGTAAATATATTTTCTATGACGCCCCCGACATATTCTTGGTCGTACTATGGATTTGAGTCAAAACTACAAGCATGGAAAATACGATAATATAAGGCTCGGGCCGCGCTATCATGTCGCTTAAGATACTGTGTTTGTGCCAAAGCTGGGCATCCACTGACAATGTGATAGAAAGTTTTATTACATTAATTACATAATCTACATTTCACATTTACACTTTGATGCAAAATCACCCATTGACGGTTTGGAGAAGAAAACCTTCTGTTTCACCTTTCAGGGCAGCCGATTTCACCCAAGGGAAGGACTCTGCTATACTTCTCAACACACTGAACATAAACGTGATGCAGCCTTCCCTTGAAAACCCGAGCCTATTCTGATAATGATTATGATGTCTTTCTAGATTCGCCCCTGTTTAATATTGGTTTTTGGCCAAACAGTTTTCTGAATAAACAACTATTGATTTCTGATTTCAGGGAACTGGTTACCGAATCAACCCTGAAGCGAAAACGTGCGAGACATTCGCCGTGTCGGGAAGATTCCCTGCCAATTGCATTCCCGGTGAGACTTTCCACAACCATTTTTCTGTTTGTTGTCTAAAGCTGCACTCGGCAATGTTCCAGCTATATGGCGGTGGCCTGTAAATTATCGAGTCTGTGACAGACAAACCAGTGATTGATAGTGTCAGCAACGTCCCACGTACAATAACACCTAGTCACCGAGCCAAACCACCAACACATTGAGTCGCTGTGTACGAGCGGCATAGGTTCCTGGACAGAATCCCATTCTCGCCCAGAATCCCATCGGGTACCAGCTTAATTGGTTGTTAATTGGCTCATCTTGCCGTTTGGTGAAACCGAGGAACATGGGTACGGCGCTGATAGACCAAAGGCCCCAAGCCAAGACCAGCAGATCATTGCATGACTCTGGGAAGAAACTCTACACAGCGAGTTGCGACATCTTACCCGATTGGGCCATCCGTGAAAAGTGACAATGAGTAAACATGTATATAGCTGGAATATTGCCATACCCAGTCGTCAAAACAAACTCACTCACTCGATCAGTGCTTTACCTTTTGCTCTATATGGGCTGTTTTACTACCAATTGGGCTAACCCCAGCTAAAAGGGACCGCCTCTGTGGTCTCGCGGTGGAGCGTCTGTCAGGAGAGCGGAAGGTCGGGGGCTCGATTCCCGGCCGCATCAAACCAAACTACGTTACGGGATGGCACTTGGTGTTACCCTCACTGGCGCTCGGTTCGGAGTATACTGTGCCTGAGTGGGATATTCATGTTAAACTGTGACATGGTATCTCAGTGGGCCAGCACTTTAAAATCGGTATTTGTCCCGACTAGTACAAGCAGCCACAGATAAACACACATATAGATACTATATAGTCACTATATAGATATGTGCAATAATCTTGAACGCGACGTTTGTCCCCATTTCACCCCACCTCACCTTGCTAAACGGGAAGACAACTCCTTGTTCATTCATAGAACTGCAACGATCATTTTCACTTCAGGTGGCGCTGTCGTGGTGGGACCTCTTTATTACGGATTTGGCACGGACAGCCTTAATGGAATAGCTTACCAATTCAATGACACGAGAGGAGAGTTTAAGAACGTCATGGCCGTTGTCAGCCGCCGGGACTGCGTACCAATAATCAGTGCAACCACCATCCTGCGCCCCGGAAGTAAGTGGACATTGGAAAGTTCAGATTGTACAGGGTTCAGTTTGCATTGGAAGGCTTAGATTGTACCGGGGTTCGTATACATTGGTAGGTAATGATAGTACAGGGGTTCGTGTACATTGGTAGGTTCAGATAGTACCGGGGTTGGTGTACATTGGTAGGTTCATATTGTACCGGGGTTCGTGTACATTAGTAGGTTCAGATAGTACCGGGGTTCATGTACATTGGTAGGTTCATATTGAACCGGGGTTAATGTACATTGGTAGGTTCATGTTGCACCAGGGTTCGTGTACATTGGTAGGTTCAGATTGTACCGGGGTTGGTGTACATTGGAGGGTTCAGATTTTTTCGGGGTTAGTGTACATTGGAAGGTTCAGATTGTACCGGGTTCCGTGTACATTGGAGGGTTCAGATTTTCCCGGGGTCCGTGTACATTGGAGGGTTCAGATTTTCCCGGGGTCCGTGTACATTGGAAGGTTCAGATTTTCCCGGGGTTCGTGTACATTTGAAGGTTCAGATTTTCCCGGGGTTCGTGTACATTGAAAGGTTCAGATTTTCCCGGGGTTCGTGTACATTGTAAGGTTCAGATTTTCCCGGGGTTCGTGTACATTGGGAGGTTCAGATTGTAAGGGCTTGATATAGATTGGAGTCTGTGTACATTTGAGGTTACACATATATTGTTTTCAAAACTTGAAAGTTTGATATATATCTCTTTCCAGACAACTATTTGGAAACCATGGGCTACAACAACATCTCCCCCGGTATCAGGGACATCACCGTCTTCGACCCCCCATCGTACTGCAAAAAGGTGAGAGTAACACTCCCACGTTCCCCCTACGTATGTTAGACTGTGCAGTATTTGATTCTTCAAACTATCGCAAGGGTCAACAGCCCGTGATACCACTCCCTTGACTCTTCCTCCCAGTCTCATTAGATTCAAATCAATCAATCATTGTTGAAGCTCGAAAATTCTCGATCAGTTCACGAATTTCACTAAAAAAACTATTATTATGAATATTCCATACACCCTGTCGTTTCTGAGCGCCATGATTGTAATGAGATTGTTTTACTCAGATGTTAATTTCGGTTCTTTCTTATTTTTTCCCCAGAGCGTCATGAACGTGGTCAACAGCATGTACAAGATCCAGCGTGTATAGACAAGTTTTACGTTTCTTTCTTTGTTATATGATGTTGGAAACTCCTTGATCTCATTAAAATCAGATCTTAGTTCTCGCTACCGCTCAGCAAAGATCCGAGGTCATCCCACTACGGGTCACGTCAGAACGACCTTTCATCCGACCAATGGCGTCGCTTACCAGATCATGAAAGTGACAGTCGGAATGCGATTTCTAATCATGCAACCTCCAAAGATTCCGGGGTTTATGACTGAATCCATACAATCTGGGCAATCTACCAAGCATTCCAGTATGTTCATTCGTTCAGTTTTCACATTTGTAATCGAGAATTTGTCAAAATATGTTTCCTAACACAGTCGCCAGTTCGAAACTAGTGCCGTAAAGCACGAGAAAGCTGCCTTCTGATTGGTTGATATCGATTTCTTGTCAGTCATTCCATTGGTCGGCCAAAGTTTGCGAAATGTCGGTCTGACATGACCTGAAATGGGATGTCCTCAGATCTCATTTTAGCGGTAGCGAGAACTAAGATCTGATTTTTGTGAGATTGGGAACTCCTTCGGGCAGCAAATGAAATAATTGTAGTTGAGAAATTGAAATAAATTTATGCATTCTTGATAAGTGTTGCCTTAAGATCAGTCTCAATATCATTATCCATATTACATGCATAGATTGTGAACACTCTGGGGATGTAGGTGTGTAATGTTTCATTGAATACATTAGATTCATCCTGTGTCACAATGATTTATTGTGTTAACAATACTCCGGCAACATATCGCCATGCTATGGGGAGACCACATACAGCGTATACTTGCGCTCGGCCGGACTGCAATGTCTGATGGAAGCGAGTACGCTTCATTAAATTGTCCGTGATATTGGGTTGTATAAAACCACAATAGAAAGCCCATACTGTGCTAAGGTGGCACGACGTCAACGGCGAAAATGCTCACCTGCACAAAAGCAGTCTTTGACGCGTGGTTATGTAGCCCTGTTCGCTCGTCACCCGTAAATCCGGGTTCGAATCCAATAAGGGTACAATGTTTGAATTCAGTTCGCCGTGAAATAAGCGTAGGAATATGGCAAGAAACCTCCCTTGCTCCCTTGAGAATATGTGTTGATAAAGCGTACCTCGTCGCGTTTACTGAAGTGCAAGCGGGCTCGGGAACGACAAGAATTGAATTCCCTCATTTTACGTGGACAGAAAGGCACTTACTTAAACTATTGTGTGGCAAACGCAAGAAAAAAAACAGTGCGCCCAAAGGCACCAACGATTCTCAAATTGTGTCTATGAAATTTGGGTATACTCATGTGCATTTCGCAGAGATAGGGACCAAATCACGCAATATGATATCCAAGGTTTAAGTTGTAGGAAAATAAAACATCATAGGTTATACCCCCATCACACCAAACGAGTTCTCAATTCGTTCGTGAAAATGTTGTCAAACGGGCTCCAACTGTGTATGAACTTAGTGGCCATAGTAGCAACTATTGACAGTCTTTTTACGAACTCGGGACGGGCTCGGACAGGGAGGGTGCTCTAGAACTTGAAGTCTGTTCAAAATTTTATCCCGTGCACCCGTTCTGCAATAAATCGGATTGACAACGTACTTAAAACGTGAAAGACGTACTTCGAAACTACTAGGGACGTGTTACGACGAGCTAGGTGCAGTCGGACATAAATATCAGTACGTGTGCACACCGACCGTTTATTGCTCGTTCATGATATGTACAGCTCGGAGCCCTGAACTTGAATGAGGTGAGGTGAAATTGGGTTTAACGTCGCCTCCAAGATTATTGCACTTATATAGCGACGTGCATGTACGTGTGTGTGTTTGTGTGGCTGCTTGTACAAGTCCGGACTGATGCCGATTTATAGTGCTAGCTCACTGAGATACCATGCCGCAGTTTAACATGAATACCCCACTCAGACACAGTATATTGACTCCGAGCCGACCAGTCCTTGTTTTAGCCCCTTAATGCCGAGCGCCAGACAGGGTAACAACAAGTACCAGCTTTTAACGTCTTTTGGTATGACGCGGTCGGGGGTCGAACCCCGGACCTTCCGCTCTCCGGGCGGACGCTCTACCACTAGACCACGGAGGCGGTTGAACTTGAATGAAGACTGGCTATAACGCGCTCGGTATCCATAGGAGTCGGGCCAGGGCGGGAGAGGACGCGAATACACACGCACAAGGGACGACATGAGGACGTAGTGCGAACGATTTGGTCGGGTTAAGAATGAGTTTGAACTTGCTTGGACGTATTGTGAACGAGGTAGAACGAGGTTGAACTGGTAAAGAACGGGTTGAGAACGGCTACAGACGTGCTCGAACTGCTTTGAAACGTTGTCGGCTTGAGGTGAACGGGCACTTTTACACGATCTGAACTGGACACTGCAGACTGACGAACAGAGAGAGAGAGAGAGAGTGAGTGAGTGAGTGAGTATGGTTTTACGCCGCTTTTAGCAATATTTCAGCAATATCACGGCGGGGGACACCAGAAATGGGCTTCACACATTGTACCCATGTCGGAAATCGAACCCGGGTCTTCGGCGTGACGAGCGAACGCTTTAACCACTTGGCTACCCGACCAGACTGACTAAGAACGAGATAGACGTATTGAGGACTGCTTATGAACGAACAAGCATCGTATTTTACGCCAAACTACGAGTTCTACCGTGGTCACAGCCCGTTCTAGTATTGTTTTAGAACGGGGTAGAACGGAATAGAACTTCTTTGGTGTGATGGTAGCATAAATTATGATTAAATAGGTAGAAACAAAGCATCCCATTGTGCAAACATTGGTAAGTTATCATTGGTACCACATATAATACAATATGACAATACACTTGGTCAAATATGTGATAGAAGCAATAAATAAAAGGCCCGACATTAAGCGTACTCACAAATATCCAGCTATTGTCAAAGTTGAATGGCTTGATTGAGGCACGTGCTTCGTTCTTGAATCCAGGAAATAGTGTTGGAGGCTGTGGCCAGGTGTCCTGTCCGCACGGGGCAAGTATCTGAGTCGCAAGTCAGGTCGTTGAAGGTGACATCGACTCGCCCACGTCTCGCACAAATATAGGTACAGTCAGCCTTCTGGAATCCGTTATCTTGCGACTTAAAATAGTATTTCCCCGGAGTTTGTTTACAAAGATGGGTAACTCTCCATGTTCTGGTTGTCGCAGACCACTACCAAGAGCTCTTCACAGCTGCTGCCAATAACAATCATCACAAATAAACATAAAATATCTACTGCCACGTGATTCACTGTGTTTGCGTCGAGCTGTAGTTGCAGGGCAACCTGTCTACAGTTTCTTCGGAATCCAGTTTCAGAAATGGTGTTTAGCACCATATTCAGAAGCATATAACTGCTGGGCAAATGAAAGAATACACCCATATTTGATGGTGGCTAGAAATGAATCAAACAAGAAATTGTAATTCGATGGTGATGTATTTTATAGTATCAAAGTTGTGAGTTAGACTTACAGTTCGCAGTGCTTCGGCGACTGTTTTCAGCCTCGTAACATTTTTTTGTAATATTTTTGCCAAATCTAAATTTCATATGACTTGTATACGTTCTTTTGCTCAGCAGTTTAGTTTACAGGAAAATTAGCTTTAGACACAAGCTACCACACCACTCTAGCATATAAATATAGTAACTTTTTGACGACTGCTTACATTAAATAGTACTATATTCCCGATGACCGATCATTGTCCAAATACAATGCAATGAGGGTCTATCGAATATCAACACAAACAATGTATCACAGCTACAATTGCTGTAAACAATAAATTTCACTGCTATATTAAACTCTCCCTTTCGGAGAAAAAAGTTTGAACATAATGAGAACTTTCTTTACCAATATAAGTACAAAAGTGCTTGGTAAAGTACAGACTATTAAACATCATACACGATAATAATGAGAAATGTTTGCACAAAATGCAAATCATGTTTGCAGTCAGAACTGACCACATTCAACCAACTCGAGATAACGTATAAGCAATAATGTTGTCTTTGCCTTGATATGCTTGACGTCTCAATCAAATCCTTGCAAAGACAGGCTCCAGTGCATGAGTCGTTGGTGTTTGTTCTTTATTTTATGAAGGAAAGTCAGTGGATTGTGATCAGTGTACCCATGTACACTTCAAATTGTTGCAAAGCTAACAATAGAGCAAGAAGTTCTTTTTCAATGGTGGAACAATTTCTCCGGATGATCAAAACCTGATGCATCTTCTTGTAACAGGACAGCTCCAGCACCAATGTCACCAGCATCTACTGCCACTTTGAGTAGTTGCGGTCACATGGCCAAAGTACAGTTTTACGTGACAAGATAAAAGGTCACGTGAGAGTTCATAATGGAAAAAAACATGTTTTATGAACAGAGCAACAGATTTAAGGAGATGTACATTTCTTGTATTTAGCAAATTTACCATTTACTGAGTGCTGGTAAAACTATAGTGAGGTAAATACCTTATTCTAATACTTGGGTACTTGGGGCATATAAACATAATATGATACTCATCTTCAACAGAAGCTAAATTACAATGTGTACATAGAGTATCGGGGTTACCTACATTTTTACATTGTCTTGATCTATTAACCTTAAAGTTATGTAAATATATTCTTCGTAGGTTTCGATCCTCTAGGTTTTTTATATAACATTATTGTTCTAAGAGCGATACTTTCATTGCAGTGTAATGAGATAAGAAAGTAGAATTTGTAACTGCATCATACCAAGTCTGGCTGGCTGTTAATCGTTGTCTTAATATATATAAGGATTGTTTATCATCACCGACGTCTTGTGCAATCAATACATGAGAAAATCCGCAAGAGAATAGAAAATAGCCTATTTCGGATTTCCAATTTGTTTTTCCATTTTCATCCAGTTTTCTTAGCATAATATAACATTGAAGGGGATATGTATATTCATTCTTAATAATCTAATCCAATATTTAACAACTCTCATCTGAGTAGATATATATAGACACTGCCGTCCTGTCTCACCAAGGATAGCTTTGTTAGTAGCAAATTTTCCAACTCCCAGAAATCGCTTAAAGTAGGCTGCGTGAACTTTTTCAAAACTTTCTTGATATTTAATTCCCAATATAATAATATTGGTGAAGCTTAAGACTCAATCATTTTGCACACACAAGAAAATGATAACTGTTTATATTGTTGAAATACTTTTTATATTGGAATAATGGCCTTTCTAGCTTGTGTGGAAAGATTTTGACAAGTCTTTGTCCACATGAACGTCGATGAAAATATAACTCCAAGATATTTGTAGTAGGTTGAATTTTTACCATGGATAGTCCATGCTTCATTTCGAGCGATGATACCCCTATTACGAAAAACAGTTTCATTGGGTTGTTTTTTAAATTTTTCTTAAAGTCCCCACTTTTTATAAAATGATGTAACACTCAAGTTGTCGCTGTAGACCAGTCACAGTATAATTATGAACGGCGCCGTACATGTTGTTTTTTTTAAATTCTGTTTATTTTTCCAAGGCATCCTTTCTGTAACAATAAGTATAAAAGGTTTTTTTCTTGGTACAAGGTCAAATGCCTTTTTAAAATTTATATTCGCACAAAAGAAATGTCCTTTTGGTCTGCACA